TATATAAAGGTAGGAGCTTCGTATTTGGATAATTTTGTCGAAGTAGAACAGTAACTTAATTATTATTGAAATATTGATTGTTTATTAACAGTTGGTACTAGGTATAAGAATAAATTGTATAACGGGATATTCGTTCATTTTAATCACTTTGTTTTATAAAGAACTTTGATTTTTTATGTAACACGATGTTCCATAAGATGTTAAATTCTTTCTGTATTTATTCGACTCGAACCAGCAAAACGAGCACAGAGCTCTGTGTTATCAACGTCGCGTCGCTCGCATGTCTGACCACTGACCGACTTTGCGGTCTGACTAAGCGTCGATACGTACTACCTGTCTGTGGAAAGAGGACCATTCTACTTAACCCACCGTTTCCTACTTTAGCCGCGCAGTTTTAACTCCAACGAATTTCAAAGCTATGGAAGAGATGCCGCACTTCATGGAAAATTGTAACCGTGTTTAAATTTTGGAATAGAAATCTTTTTCCGAAGTAAATAGACAAAAGACTGAAAAATATAGAAAAACATCAGAGATGCGAGATGAGAGGACTCCCACTCGACGAAGACGAACGAAAATTATCGCAGTGAGCAAATTGGCATCGATAAACGATAAACATACGACTCTAACTTCACTGACGAAACAACAGTGAGTATAGAACAAGCGACAGAGCAAAACATGGGACACATCCTAAATAAATTTCTAGATAAAATGGACTCGATGACCGAAACAAGAAAAGAATGCACAGAGGTAATTAGTTCACTTAAAAAAATGGCAAAAATTAAAGAAGCAGTGAAAGAGAAAGAGCTAAAGTGACCTGATGGGAAGAAAAGCCTGGGAAAAAGAATCAAGCTGCTGGAAGATGCGGAGAAAGGCGAAAGAAGAAAAGAAAAAAGGATAATATAAGGCAATAACAGAACAAGCGAGACACTTTCTAAGGGAAAAACTAGAAGTTGACGCAAAAATAGAATATACGCAAAAAATAAGAACAGACAACAACGATAAAATGATAAGAATCAAATTGGCAGACTGGGAATCCAAGCAAAGAATGAAAGAGAACAGGAAAACGTTGAAAGGCGAGAATATTTACATTGGTGACAACACGACAAACTCATAGAGGGAAGTGCAAAGAGAAATAGGAAAATATGTATCGAGACATAAAAAGAGCTAGGAAAGATTGTGAGAATAGGCTATCGGAAAATTTACGTCGACAACGAGTTACTGATATGGAAAGTAAACGACGGATCGGTGAATGGACAGTTGTTTCGCAGAAAGGAAGATCGACGATAAAAACAGAAACAAAGAAAGAACACAAGGCGGTATAATCTTTTGGAACATACATGGTATGGGGAATGTAAATAGTTCGAATGAGATATGTGAAATATTTAGAGCGAGAGATATAATAAGTTAGCATTTCTGAAAGACTACAGTTACATGCTAAGCAAGGTAAACAGAATGAAGTCGATAGGAAGAGCCAGCGGCGTTGTGTGCGCTCTGTACAGAAAAGGTTTAATAGAATTACTAGAAATGATATCAATAACTGATTTATGGCTATGTATCAAAGTCAAGTTAAATAAAGAAGAGTACATAGTATATTATACCTATATAGTTGGGGAAACGAACAGATAATAAGAACTCTGGTTGAAATGATTATCGATATCGAGGAAAAAAATGTCATTAACGATAATAGGAGGGGTCTATACCTCAAGAATAGGGGACAGTAACCAATTAAAGGAAGCCATTACAGAAGCAGCAGAATTTACTCACTACAGACAAACAAGGGATATAAAAATAAACAGGGCAGAGAAAATACTATGCGAAGCCATAGAAAAATCAGGAATGTTGGTATTAAATGGTAGAAGCAAACCGGACGCAGAAGGAGGTAGGCAAAAGAATGCAGTGCAATTGATATGATATGGATGGATATAAATAACCTACGAGAGCTTGATGACCTGAAAAATCATAGAAACAGGGACACCAGACCACCTATCGGTAAAAATAAGCCTAAGAAACATAAGCAAACTGAAAGCTGAAGAGGTAAAGGAGGGTAGAATAGAAAACAAATTAATCTTAATTAAACAAATTAATTCGACGGATACGCCGAAATCCTACAAGATAAAGATATGGGAACGGAAGTAGGAACAGAACCCTAATCATCAACTATTTACCTACATACACAACTGATAACAAGATTAACAAGAGCAGCAAATATATTACAATGCGAAAAGGCAGAACCTCGTCAGGCTGGTGGGAATTAATACGATGATGCTATACAAAAGAGGCAAGCAACTACAGAAGAATAACTCTGGCTAACGCTACTACAAAAATATTCATATCGATAACAGTAAACAGATTGGGTACAAAGGGAAAGATATATATAGTCTTGGTCGATTTTAATTTCAATTTCGCATTCCATTCTCTGGAGGAAACTATACATGGCAAGGATAAGCACGCAAATTATCAGAGTAGCAATCGAACTGTATCAAAACGCAAATATTTGAATAAAAGCTAATAGTAACGAATACGCAGAGAACATAAAAATAATAAAAAGGATATCAGTAGAGACAGTTTGACCAATTCCCTTTTCGTGAACGACCTTCGATACCATAAAATATTTGGAAAATAAGGGACATGCAAAAATGGGAGAAGAAATGGAACTACTCTTATTCGCAAACGACATGGTAATAATTGAGTAGATATGCTAGAGAAGATAAACGTGCTACGTAACTACTGTAGAAAACAAGTTAGAAGTAAACACCGATAAGATAAAACTGCTGGTATTATAGTATTATGAGAGCACTATTAGATTTCTCATTAAAAAAATACATGCTTTTCCTTGAGATGGCACAGTATCTATTTTAAAATACTTCTTACCATTCCGAATATCAAAAACATCATTTAAGTCGTTTAAGTTTAGCTTCCACTGATACAGCGCAGCGTCTCTGCTGGCTAAAAGTGCGGCATCCATCCTAAATGTTCGAGAGAGAAGTCTCATTTTTCCATTTCGCGTGCTACGTAGAAAATAACTTACTTCGATAAAGAAACGTTCCATAAATTTCCCTTAACCTACTATCAAAGTTAGATTTTGGAAAAGGACTAATTTTTAACTACTGTGATAGCGGATATGAACTCGCAAAATAATTATTGAGGTAAAGTACGATGTACTTATATCGAAAAATAGCGAGATCTTTCAAAATAATAAGGAAAACAGCTCTCATTTCACAAACATAACAAGACACACGATACAAAATAATTGAAATCGGCAATGCTTTGTTATCGGCAGCCGTGAAATACCGAAAGTGAAGTACCATAATACCAAACGTAGTCTCGACGATAGATACGTTGAATTAGCTGGTTTTTTCAAATATTTTATACAACAGTTGTGTATTTTAATCATTTTATTTTATTCAAAATCACAGATAAATCAATAGACTTTTTCATATAAATTTACAAAATAGCAAATGATGTGCGATTAGTATGTATTTCCGAGAAAATTCTATATGTATCAACAAGCTTTGAAATAGAATCTCTGGAAGTGGTTAGATCATCGCTTCACGTACCATGGCCCCCATTAAAAGTCGGAGAAGAAATAATATTAGTTACAGTCATAAGTGTTACGTTTATGCGACGATGTTTCCGTCAGCGTTGCCGCGTTTAGTGCCAAACAGCTGGCACACCCAAAATCCAGAACAATCCGTTAATAATATCTTCGTTCCGTCTCGACGTGTGTCGAGCTACTCGAACGATCAGCCGCAGCTGTTAAATTCCCACTACGATCTTTATTCCATCTTTCGATCATTTGACTGGTCGATTGATCATTCTTTACAGAAACCAAGCTTCGCTACGCAACCATCTCTCAGTTTTATTTCCTATAAATAAATTTCGGATACGAAGCTTTCTTCGCATTTACATGTATAATCTCTTCCTAATGCGATACTCTATTGTAATACAGAAGTCTTCAAATAACTACACCTACGGAAATTTTCGATCTCTTAATTAAGTAGCTGCTGTCTCCGCGCCAGACAACAGGCTTAAGCGCTGTTTTTTTAAGTATGAGAACTGTGTCGATTAATTAGAAATGGTCTGTCTGATCGATCGACCTTCATTAACGATATGAAAAGGAACGAAGGAAACCCGCCTTCTTCTCGACACTCATAACAATTAGATTAACATAATTAATCAAGCGTATTGGAAGACAAGCGGTAGATCGAACTGCAGCTGAACGAACGACGAAGCAAGCTCGGCTCCGTTTTCAGTTTCCGATTATTTTTGGCAGCAAGCACAGCGGGCATAGCTCTCGCCTAAAAATGCTTGTGCGACCAATGGC